GAGAATAGGCTTGTGTGGATCTCTTCTTTGGTAAGAGGTTGCAGAAATCAGCTGAAGATACACACATCTAGCCTTTGAATAACATACCCAATGCAAGATTTGAAAATTTTTTATATGGACAGCAGCATCTATCCTTTCAGACTTATTCTTGAAATTTCACTAATGTGACTTTCACATGTTGTTACATGGAATTAGAGTTGGAAAGGCACGTATTGACTGCCTACATTGATAAAAAATTCAGTAGATAGACTATTTCCTACATACTATGTTTTAAACCTTTCAAACAAGTTCTAGTTCTCCCTGCTTTAATGAAATCTCCTACCTGTAGGTACTTCCCTTGAACAGTGAAGAGAAATAAGTCTCTCTCTCATTCACTCTCTCTCTCTCTCCTTTTATATCTATCTCTATTAATCTATGTATGTATGTATGTATGTATATATCTACCTGTCTATAAATATAGATATATCTTGTATGGAGAAAACCTTGGAAGAGAAACACTTAAAGGCATAATACAAGTGGAAAAAGAGAAAAACAGAGCTGTAATGTTTTTCATTTCTTATCCCCCGCCATGGTTTTAAGTAAACCTGCCAATTTATGAATTCTTATTGTTTGCTTTTGGCACTGTTATGAACAATTGAGTGTCCTTTCTTTTGTGCCATATGATTCCTTGGACAGGAACTATTGGTTACTGTGCATCTGTACTGCATTTTGCCCACTTTCTGCATCAAAAATCTGCAGGCTATTGCACTCATCAAATAATAAGGAATGTGCCGCAACTTTCCATGCTCTCCTTGGCAAACCCAGTTACTCTCTTAGTGACAGGTTGCCCAAACTGTGATTTGAGAGACATATTTCCAAGCTCACTTGTTTATTTAACATATTCCACAGTTGTAATCCAAGAATTACCATCTCTTAACTATACCAAGCATGATTTCAGGGCAGAGTGAAGAAAAATTATGTAGCATTTTAAATTATTTAAAAAAAAATTAAAATGAGTTTGTTTATTTTTATTCATAGTTCTGAAAGTCTTTAATGCAGTAGATGCCTTTGAAATCCTTGCTTATTTTTGGTACTGTTGTTTGGCCTATTTGGATAGATTGCAGATCTTTTTACTAAACCACTCTTCTTTGAGGATATACCATCCAGATTGCCTCTACCCTTGTGGGCATWTAAATTAAAAACTGCTACTATTACACATATTCCCATGTGGCTAGAAATACTAGTAGAATATCTAACACCTTCACCCTCGGTCAGTACACGTTTTGTGAAAAGAAAAAGGAGAACGTAAGCACTAGAAAATTTATCATACTGGCTGGCGCTTCAGAAACTCAGCCTTCAGAAGATGAGAAGGCAATTGTTGGCCTATGGCTAATTTCCAGAAGGAATTGACTAGCTGCTGATTTATAGGTAGATATGGAATTCAGTTGAATTTTTCAAAATGCAATACTGATTTTTCAGTTTTTAGTGCTTTTTAAGAACAGGTTTAAAGGTAGTTTGAAGACATTAGATTAAAAGAGAGTAAGCACTTAGTTTCTCTGACAGCAAATGTACTTTTGTACCYTTTGAGCAACTTTTTCCTTTAGTTTAATATTAATGTCAAGATGGGGGCAGTACAGATATCAAATAGAGAAAAAAAAATTACAGAAATAAGCAGTTGAAACAAGTATATTTTATTATACCCATCCTGGATTTAAAACTTGATACGGAAAATTTCCTTTGATTTTATTATTTATAGTCAGTTTAAGTCTATAGAAATCCTGTTGATTTAAATGGGCTCAGTCAATTTAAAGGAAAACTTAATTACCAAATACAATATATCTTGCTCTGAAAATCATATAAAAATGAAAAACAGAACTCAATCTAAATGCAGAATTCACTTAGAAAATTGGAAGTTCAAAGTACAGATGCAAAGAAAGAAGCCCCCAATACTGTTCTATTTTAAAACTTTTAAAATGTAAGTTTGAATCTTCTATCAAACTTTCAACATATATAATAAGCTACTGAATAAAAATTGAATTCAGATAATTTACAGTACTAAAAATTCACAGACATTATTTATTTCAGTTCAAGTTACTGCTAAGTGGTTTTGTTAAAGATGATAGTCTCTTAAAATTAAAAGAACTTTACATAGCCTACTATGTAAACAGGCAAATATATCACTTGGCCTTCATATTAGTTATGGAGTAAACTAGAATGAAATTAGAGCATGACTATTTGAGTCCAAAAAGTTCTTGTTCTGTCTTTCAATCAAAAGCCTCTGTTTTGAGACAATAGTGGCAAAGACACTACTGTATTTATAATTTAGCAATGACACTAAATGTGAAATTCATTCCAGTTTTGTTGACAGTTGCTATGATCATGATAGGAACTATTCAATCAGTCTTTGGCTAAGAAAAAATTTAACAAATCTGAGATAACCTTGGTATAGCTTAAAAATACCAYGGATGATAAATAGTTGTGTAATATAATAAAGAATTAGTCATCTTTTAAAATTCTATTTATTCTATTCCCAAGGTAAATTTTCAAAGATTCCAGGATTATTACTTGAAATAATCCAAGCCAATGAAATAACATACTTCTTAAAACACAGGCTTAAATAATATTTTTCCATTTCTGATATTGCAGTTATAATGCAATTTATATTAATGTAATTTGTTGAAGGAGGGCAGCAACTGAGGTCTGATGTTAGCAACAAAAAGTAGYTTCATTATATAATGGCAGAAATGAAACTGTTTAGATACTTCTTCTTGGAGTATACCATTTTGAATATATGCTATTTTTGGACACTGTGGAAAAATGCAAATTTAGAAGGTTCTAATTTGGCCAGAAATGTGAACCAAACATGATTGTGCTACCAGCTTCTAAGATGCCAAATAGAAGAAAACACAGACGTCTTTGTTTCTTGTGAACAATCATGAACAAAGAGAACTTTTGATGTTTATTCTTCTGCACCTTAAAGAAAGACTACTGTCCAAAATAGTGCCATTGTGGAATGATGTAACTAAGACAGAGGAGTCAACCTTATAGTGACCCTTCCATCTTCCTTTAGCCCTTTATCAAGTTCTTCCCACTGTTTGGCACTAAAGAGATTTAGAAAACACTTATTTAATGATGTTTAAAGCTCTTATTGCTCAATAAAGAACAAAGACTATTCCTGTGATTAAATATTTATGATGCATTCCTAGCAATGTCCCTCATATATATGCCTCTCAAATCAATTGCCTACTCCAAACTTACATTACTTGAGAGCTTAATGCAAATCTTTAATTTGTGAGTAAATAATCAAACCATCTGTCTTCCTACGCGTATATATGTTTTTAATATATTTCCAAGAAAAAAAAAAAATCAGAAAGAATATAAATTTTCAACTCTGTAGTGATATACAGGCTTTATTAAGCACAAAAATTGTTATGAGAAACACACTTGCAGGTGAATTTAAATTTTAGTATGCCCTTTTTAAAAGAAAACTCTGCCTGCTTCACTAATTGCTTCTCAACATTTATTTAAAGCAATGGATACCAGTAACGAGGTGATGAAATTTCTAAGTGAGCCAGGAGAGGGAGCCCCTTAATAGGGGGATCAACTCCCATGCCAGTTCCTGAAGTTCTACTCAAGCTTAAAAGTAAGATGAAATGTGAACACTGAGGAACAATTCTTTCTTTATTGTTTTGCAGGTTAACAAGAGATAATGAAAAAAATTATACTTTTCTGTCAGGCTTTTTTTTTTTTTTTTTTTTTTTTTTTTTTTTTTTTTTTTGGGAACAAATGAGACTGATAGTGAAGTTTCTATGGTCTGCCTTTCCTACTTCTAAGTTAATATATAATGACCCCTCAGAGCTTTTAGCATGTGTTTGAAGTACCTTTCTGATACAACAATGTGCAGCTCCAATTGTATTACAAATGCATCATACAAACATCTGTAACTCCTCTACATGTGAGGATAAAAGGGGAGTGGAGATCCCTAATTCAGGCTGAGGATTGACAAGGGAGAAAAAAAAATCCCACTATACCCAAAATTTCTATATAAGTAATTTTAAGAGACAATACTGCAATTGCCACTTGTATCAGCCTTGATTTACAGTGCACAAAATGGATCTTCCAATGATTTTTCCATACAATTCTCTCTGAGAACAGTTAACCCAGCAAAATACTGTGTTTCACTACTCAGTTTTCTTTGAACATATGTGTTTACTTTTCAAACTGCAAAAGCAATTTTGCTATTGCCTTTTGAAATCTGTATTTTTCATAATGCAACATTGCTGATATTGGTAACAAACCACTGAGTTTACTGAGCAAAGGGGACTATTCTGACAACATTGCTTTGATAACACAGACGTTAGCAAGTACAATTCTCATTAGCTCTAATGAAGCAGGACTAAATGGCTAATTGTATTCTCTKCCTGGGTATCTTGAAAATACTTTCCCTGTTGTATATCAAAGCACTTAAGCAAATACTTAAAACTAAGCTTCATTAATGATTATTTAAATAAATGCTAACAGATTTTGCTGAGCAGGAGTTTGAAATAAAATCTACACAGTCTACATTGAAGTCTAATGAGCAATTCAATATTGAAATCTTTACTCAAGCTTAAATTCATAAAATGAAACCCCAATTCCACTAAAGTCAATGGCAAAACTTCCCATGACTCAAAAAGGATCAGGGTTTCTGACACAGGCTCCACCAGAAGTTTTCCTTGAACAAGGCAAAGCAATGTACCCAGAAGTTTTATGGAAAGGCTACTGTGATGGAAACAAGACATTTGTTTCTGTGGAATGTGTCAAGGTGCAAGATTTTTGACACTGCTGGAAAACAAGCCTTTTTCTACTAATGAGAGAAGCACAAATATCAACTAACTCTCCACAACCCAGATGAGGGAATTAAACTGATACTAATCAATTTTTAATACCCCACCTCCAAAATGGAGCTATTTTAGGACTCTGCCTTTGAAATAAGTCCTTTATTCACTTGGAAAAATAAATATAAATTCTTTTCTCTTTACCTGCACTGGTGCCTGCACCAGTTGTGAGGTCGCCACCCATCAGGCCACCTAGGGGATTGAAATGAAATACTGTGAATGAGCACAGTAAATTACAGCACTCAAACATTCAAAACATTTTCGCTACCTTCAATCAGCCTGCAGTACCCACTACTTCTATCATGTGACTTCAACAGGCAGTGGAATTAGACCCACAATTAGAAAATAATTTTTAAACATTCATGTTTAATGTTACCTGTATGAGACACTTGCCTTTCAAGGACACACAAAACATGAAGTATCCATAATTTCATTATTTTAGTTTCATACTTCCACAGCATATGAAAAATTCTGTTTAAAAGTTATGCATAGTAGTCCTTCATTTGAAAACTATCTTTAGTTGAATGCTAGTCAAAAAAACAAGGGATTGTAAGGAAGAGACTGAAGGTTCCTGTAAAAGAATACAACTCAGAAGGTTTTTGCACACTTTTAATTTCCTCAATCTTTCACAGATATTTACACTATGATTTTTTAAAACTTCTCTTTGTGCTTGGAAACCTCAAATGATTCTTTGAACCTGGTGTCCTTAAGGATCTTGATGGTGCTGTAGCCAGACAGATTGAAACAACCTAATCCCCACTTATCCTATTCAGAGATAAGCCTTCATCATCACCAGAACAAAGCACAAGTCCTTGTAAAGTACAGGGCTCAACTAAAATGAACTCATCAAGGAAATTATGAATGGATCAATATAAATAAATTCTGCATTTAGTCTATAGACTGATTATTTAAGTAATGAATATTCTGATTTACTTGCTTCAATTTGTTTGTGTTGGCTGTATTTTCTCCCCTGCCCCCTTAAGCTCTATAGCAAAATGAGCATGAATTAAGCTGCCTTTTTATCAAAAACAAGTTGTCTCCCTTTTATCCTTTATTGAGTACACAAATTTCCTTCAATCATAGTCAATATTCAGCTTTTTCTAGAACTTTTTTCTTTTTTAGTCTCCTTTTGATGTTTCAACACAGCAATTTTGGCCAAAYTGTTGACTGTTAAAAATAGGTTCTTGTTTCTTGGAGTACAGTTTATCGTGACCCAAGGCATGCAAGCAGCTGGTAATAGAGCATTTGAAGGGATGGTATTGAGCAGAGCCTACCTGTGTTACCTGCACTTGGAGGCCGATGTGTCACGCCAGGAGACATGCTATTTCTTTGCAAAGAAGGATGAGCCAGTGGCAAAAGGTTGGGGTTTCCCAGTGAGCTGACTGGGTTACTGTATACCAAACTGTTGTGGTTGGACACTGGGATAGAAACTGGCATCTCAAAATTTGGTGGTGGAACAGCCTGTACAAGCAAAAAAAGAAAACAAAGATGAGAATAGTACAGAAGCACAACAGCCTTCAAGTACAGTTACTTTATGTTTAGTTTAAATATTTTGTAGTTTGTGCTTAAAATATTTATGTTTGCCCCTTTCCCCCAAGACTTAAGAGTTCCAAAAAGATAATCAAGGCTTTTAAATATGATTTTTTAAGTCATGATTCTATCTTCCTTTAATGCAGCTTGCACAACTACTTTGTAAGAACTGGAAATATTTTTTCTTTTAGTTTATTTTATTCTTGTTTAAAACAAACCTCTGCTTAATGTAGCTGAATTTTCTATTTCTTTCATTATGTGAAGTCATAATTTTTCACTTGTAATACTTTAGTGTCATAGATGACTGCAAGATCCAAGGTACAAGACAATGGTGATTTCATAGCATGTGAAAAAAACAGAGGGGCAGAATGCAAACCAGAAGGCTTTAATTTCAGCTTGTGTTGCTTTAGCAACCAGAACTTGTCCCAAATCATGTAAAAGACACCGAAACAGTATATCACTTTTTTTCCCAGGTTTCTACCTTGTTAGTTCTACTTAGGAGCAGCTAACAAATACAAGAAATTTGGATACACATCAGTCTTTATGTTTTACAGAGGGGGGAGGTGGTGTTTAGTGATGCCTTTTCAATATACTGTTTTCATACTTTTAGGCAAGATCTCCTCTTTGTGAGAATGCTTTTAAAAAAAAGAACCAAATAATATACCACACTAACAGAAGGTATGAGGAGATGCAGTATCTCATTATGCTCTTAGGAAGCTCAATTCAGGTTTCCTTGGTTGGTTGTGAGTTTGTTTGTTGGGGTTTTTTTGGATAGCAGTAGCTTGAATTTCTAGAAAAGTTATGACTACATTAGAAATCCCTATTTAATTAACTCATTTTTATAATTCTTAATTTTTTGCTTTTTTGATCAGAAAAGACTTTCCAGAATTACCTGACAGCATTTTAAATATTCAGTACCTGAATGCAAACTAAGTAGCCCTCAATTTCAATTTAGAAATCTTGTAAGCTTCAAGAGCTTGAACACTTTAAAAAAAATCTTTAAAGTAGCCTGGTAACACATTCAAAGAGAAGAAACCACAGGTTTAAAGTTTTTGATTGGCAGCTGGTACAGGTATGTCTTCAAGAACCTAGAATACATGGAGAGCTCACTTGCTTGTCAGGCAACTGAGGCACCCTGACCCTATACCACCTATGTCTCTTTTCTGGCTGAAGCTCTTGGCTATGCCCTGTGTATCACTGCATTATCCATCAAATTACAGTAATCTCTTAAGGCTTTTTTTTTCTTTCATGGTCAWCTCTAGGGACAGAAAACTTCTTCCCTAAATATAGAGGAGCTATTTTGCCTAACCACTGAGACATAGAGCAAGATTTTCAGTGTATGATGCTAAGATATATTGCACAAATGCCATGGGAATTATTTCAAAGTGATAATTTAGCTCTGATACCCTCTACATAGTCTGTGGTCTGCTTGTTGTGAGAGATGGCCGTAGCAACAGTAGTTGAGTGGATGGATTTGATGGCATTGCTCTCCGGCCTGGAGGCTAAACGTGGGAATTTACTTCCCTTTACTGAGAAGCTGAAGTGCACCTTAAGGGCTGTATTTTTCATAGAGCTGATTGATTTAAGTAGAGGTGGGAAAGGAAGGTGAGGTGTTTTGGGAATCTGCATATTCTACATCTGATCTACAGATGTACTACAGAGTYTAAATGTAATCTGCATCTACTACTAAGAGTCTACATGTAATCTGCATCCTTATGATTGAGGTCTAGGTTCCTTAGAAATAGCATAATCTGCAAATAGAGCATAATCTGAAACTTTTTATCATCTTGAAGTATGTTTTGAAGTMATTCTTTCTTCTGGCCACAGAAAGACCCAAGAGGGTCCTAAATCCCATGTTAGAAGCACATGACTGTTGCTGGAGTTCTTGACTGCTGCTGCTGGTTCCTGTCTTTTCAAAAAGTTTTATTCAGTGAATTCACCGGAGCATATGACTAACCCCCCATGTTTCAGCCCCAATTCCAGCCTGATGTGAGACATGAATAAGCCAACATGGATTTTCTGGTTACTGCAATATCYAGGGCTGTGATGGATCCCTGATGGTTTGGAGACCTGATGGTTTTGAGCCCATGGTCCTGCCTTTGTGAGTGCTAGTCTATATGGCATTGACTGTCACCCACAGGACAGCACTTTGCACGTCTTCTTTACCTGTGTCACAAGATCTGTGAACTCTGATCTCTGAGTCTGAGTAGAGACTATTATCACCTCTATTTTCTTAACACCTTTTCTAATTCAAATTTCTGTTATCTAAACTAAAACACTGGTACAAATGCAGAACTGAAGGTCTTGCCAGAATTCAACAAGCTTGCTTGGTTTCACCACTATGCTCCTTCTTCCATTTAAAATGCAAACTATTCAAGAGCCAGATTGTTCTTTTTCTACATTAGTACAGCACAAAAGAGCTCCAGTCTTGATTGCTCTTGGGGTTCCCAATCTCCCTGGTCTTCTGAAACTACTTAGCTTTCATTTTGTCATTTAAAAAATATTTTTAAACTGGTTGAATTATTAGTTTGATTTTTATACTAATAGTCTTATTGTTGTAATTTTACCTAGTGTCTGGATCTACTTACAGCTATTTAGAAAGCACTTCTTATGCAGTTTTATGAAGGAAAGGACAGTTTGCTTGCTGCTTTTCAGCACAATATATACTTGTCTTGGGCTGATTTTCTGGTGATTAGTCTGGTCCTCAATTGCTTGCTCCATGCCCAGAAATGGTTGCTTTAAGGTGGGTCCGGCGGAGGGGAGAGCCTTAGGCTCTTCGGGGAGCTTTTTCAGAGCCTCACTTCCCAGGCCGGGGCTGCTGTGTGGGTTTTTGCTTGGTTAGCTTGGCTCTTTTTTTTTTTTTTTTTGTTTTGTTTTGTTAGCCCAGGCAGAAGTTTTATTCCTTTCCCTGGGCTTGGAGAGGCTGCAGCAGCAATCCTTCAGTGATTTTTGAAGTGAAATGGACTGGACGGGTTTGGTTTTGGTCTGAGATCAGAGATTGGCGGGAGAGGGGTCGGCCGGGACCAGTGGGAAAAGCAAGGGGCTGCTGTCTCGTCCCCACGTCTCAAAGAAAGCTGAGCCAGTGAGACAAAGCACACCATGCCCACATACTTCATCTGCTGTGAAGAGGGGACCAACACCATTGAGTCACCGGGTACCCATCTATTTGCCTGAGCTGCTGCATGAACCTTTTGGTTTTTTCCCCTGAGACAGGAGCCGGTCTTTTTCTCCCCCACCTTGGGGCAGACATTGTGCTTTTTTTTTTCTTTTCTTTCTCTGGCATTTCGGGTTCTTTTGTTCTGGTGGGGGGGAGTAGGGGGGTGTGTATAAGGTCTGACGTATCTAGCATTTCTTTACCTTTTCTCGTGTTGGGTGGGTACTTGGTCAACATACTTTTTGTTTTTTTGTTTTTTTGTTTTTTTCATTTTCACCCACTGGAATTCATTCCTTATTGGCGGAAAGGGATTGTTGGAACCCCATTTTTTTTTAGAGAGAACAGTCATTCCAGAGTGTTCTTCTAAACTTGTCTCTAAATCAAGACACAACTATATCTGAAATGCCATAGGTTTTACTTCTTCTCCACAGTCAAAAGTTAGAGAAGTCTGACTGGATAAACATCAGTATTAAACACTGAGTCTAGCTACAGTTTGCTGTGTTTGTATGACTTTATTAGTCTTACACATCACTCACCAAGAACTGCAACCTCCTGCAAATTCTCTAGTCATTCCTGTTGGTAAGATATGGGTTATATCAATTTCATCGAGGCCTGACAGACATTAAAGTTTCTGAAGCACTTGTGTAATATCTATATTAATAGGAACCTGGGAGAAACTGAGGCCACAGAGCAGTCCATGTCCATACCATTAAGCTTCTCAACCTCAAAAAAATCATAACTATGTATAGACTGAAAATTGGGAATTGTTCCTGGCCTGGACTGACAACCAAACAAAGTTAAGAAATTGTCTGGGAGAATGTTATTTGGTGTTAAAATGTGTCAAGAGCCTGCTGGGGACTGTTCAAAGAATTGACTTCAGAGATATGTGCACCTCCTGCTGCCTCAGTGTTTTCTTTGCTTTTTTTTCTAATTGTGACATAGACAAAGCTTTACTCTAATGTGTGTAAAGTTGGCCCTATTTTGCCTTTCTTCTCCTCCCTTTGTCTTTTTCCTGTTGGACACTGCCAAAGAGGGCAGATGGCTCACCGGCAACAATATTTCCAGTGTACAGCACACACTGTGTTAGATGCATACTCCACAAGCTGTGATATGTGATGCAAAACAAAGTGTTGTACGCTCAACACCCTTAGAACTTAATGGACCAAACATTCCGTGTTTAATACTGTTTTATCCCACCCATATTAAACCAGGCCTTCATTTCTTTAGAGACAGAGATACCTACAACTCCCTCCTAGTGGGCTATTTCTGTYTCCTTTGCTTTCATCACTCTTATGAAAATTACAAATAAATATATAATTATTATCAGATGGGTAAGAGCAAAATAAATACTTATCTTCAGAAAACTATCTGAGGAAACATTATTTRGCTTAGCTATTAGGAGCAAGAGCTAGTGTTGTTTTCATTTGGCAGCAGCTTAATTATCTTACAAGACCAAGCACAGGCAATGCATTGGTTTATATATTCTGTAAGTAGTGATTTAGAGACTTGGCTTGGTGACTTTTTGATTAATTTTGCTTTCTTCTCAATTTATTTTACTACCTTCAATAACCACAAGTAAATGAACATATCTTCGCTGACTTAGTCTAACTTATTCAGTTAAGGATATTATTGTATGCAATATATAATATTCATGTACAAAACCAGATAGTTATAGATTTCCATTATGTACTATTGTGAGTGCTAACTTGCCTGTTACATCTTGGCTTATGCCAAGAGAAGGAGTTCCTGTTGCTTTACAGGAGAATACGTACTGCTTCTTCCTTTTGTTGTAAGCAGCTTGATGGAGGACACAGACCTGAGCTTTTCATGAGAAGTATTCATGATGGGCTACTCTGACTTACATGAAAAAATGCTAATGTTTTGCAGTTCTGTATCTGATACAAATTTCACAAAAAGATTAATACATTGTACCTCATCCCTGAAAGTTATACTCTAAATCACTAATTAATTGCTGAAGTAGAACTATATTTGATGCAAAAAAATTGCATTTAATGAAAGCAACYATAGGGAAATTCCATTAATTTTGGGAGAACAAAACTGATGTACCATGATCAGATTAACTGTGTTCTTTCTAAATCTTATAAATTTTCTGGCTTTATAGAAAAGAAAGTTTTCCCAAAAGCTTACAGAGATAAAGTGGTAGAACTCACTATTACAGGAATGAAAGTTTTTC